GAGCTCCCTGACTCTCTCCTTTGCCTCACCACGGGAGTCTTTCCCCCTAGGCTCCTCTTACCCATTGTGATTTTCTCCTGGCAGCAAAGTCCTTCACAGAGGAGTAGGAGAAGTGTGAGCAGCATTGAAGCTCTGCTGGCAAAGGATGCCTGAAAAGACAGTGACACTCTAGGCGCAGAAATCAGTTCACCTCCCCACACTCTCTCACTCTCATCTGACTTCCTTGCTGCAGAAACAAACCTCTCTCTCTGCCCACTTCCCTAACAGAGGCCCCACTGCCTCCCTCAGTATCTCATTTCCCCTCCATTACTCCCACTGTCAGGCTTTCTGATTTTTTTTTTCCATGCCATTGTCTTCATCATCTCAGTCTTCACTATTATTCCAGCTGACGTCATCCTCTTTTTTTTTTATTTTGATTCTCCTACTGTTACCCTTTTCTGCCTAGAATTTTTACCCATTTCCTTAGCTCCTCATTCCAAAGCCTGAAGACTATCTTCCATCATTTCCCAGTTACACCTCAGTCCTTTCTCACCCCAGTGGATGATGATATCATGTCCTCCTAGACTGCTGTGCTTCACCCGGCAAGAAAGGCCAGCCGCCTCCCCAGCTGCCACATCCACTGTGACTCGGAGATACCAAGTCCCATCAGCATTGGGCAGGGTGTCACCTCGCTGAGTGCCCGGCTGCTCCTGCTCCCCCCGCATCCACATCGCCCACACAGGCTTTGGGTGGAATCCTGAGACGTGGCACACCAGCAGCAGACGGCCAGGACCCGGACTGGGGCCACTGGACAGCCAGACCTGGGGCTTCACTGGACAGGAAGAGCAGAGAAATGGAATTCAGGTGGGGAAGGTACCACAACCAGACCTCAGAGTCCCTCAGGTGCCTTAGCAATTTGAGTGATCACTTTCTCTTATCTAAGAAACAGAATTCTAAACCCACACATCTTACCCTCTAGCCTTTCATTCTATGTTTCGAGATGAAGATGAGAAGGAGTAAGTCTGAATATAAGTGTTAGAGACAGGAGGAAGGGTAGGGGAAAGTGGTGGGCTCACCTTGTCGTTCCAGCTCGGACTTCCCTGCTTTAAGGAGGCCTGCTAGTAATCGAGGGCAGGTGTCACTAAGAAGGCTCTGCACAATTTCTTTAATATCTCGGTACCGATTGAGCACCTTGCAGACATTCTGGGCTGAACTCCCAGCTCCTGGAGATGGCACCCAGGTACTTCCATCAAAACTCAAGAAATCTAATCCTTGATATGCTCCCATTAAGAAGCTTTCTGTGGTCTTCCCAGCATGCATTCGGCACCCAAATGATACCTGGAGCTCAAAGGGGTCTAGGGATAGAGAGGGAATAAATAATCATTATGAAAGAATGGCAGAGAGAAAGTGATCAAAATCTAGAAAGTAAAGGAACTCAAGGAAAGGAAAACGTGCTGGGTAATCACACAAGAGACTAGAATTCAGTGAAAAAGGGAAATGAAGTTAGTTTGTGGAAGGAAATTTGAAGATAATAAAGGTACTGTGAAATAATTAATGGGGAAGGGAAGACAGGAAAACCCTCAGAAAGATAGCAGAGTTTTATAGAAGAGCTTAGGTGACAGCATTAGGCATATGAACTCTCAATCCAAGAAGAAAGGGGGCAGGCTCTGGTTGGGAAAGGCTAAATCTGGGGACAGTGGACAGAAGGTCAAGAGGAGACACTCCTTCCATAGAGCCAGAGCATGAGGGTGCATTCAAAGATGTGAAGAGCCATGTCCATGTGAGCTCTTTCGTGTGCATGGCAGGGTAGGAGTGAAGGTGAAGGGTGAAGCAGATGAGGGGCTGTGAACCACAGGGAGACAGAGAATAAGGTCAAGGAGGTAGGATGATATTCAGGCCTCTACACCATCTTCCCTTTTGAAGGGTGTTTAGAGACTCAGGCAAAATATCAGCTTGGGACAATGAACTCACATTCAAAATGAAACTGACTGGCAAAAGCCTGCACTTCCAGGGTAAAACCATGAAAGTACAACTGGAATAGTGCCTGGAGGTTCTTCAGCTCCTCCTTGCTGAAGTTTCCCGGGGACCAGGGCCACAGGAAGCGGATGGTGCCCAAGACACTGTCCCAGCCATGAGTCTGCAGCTCACCCAGCCAGCCTGAGCCCTGGGTTTGTGTCCAGCTTCGATTGGCAAAGGACGAGATCTGGAGCATGCGGAAGCAGGGAGGGTCTTCTGTGTTAAGATGATGGAGACCTGGAGCCTGGGGAGCTAAGAGGGAGGAAATGACAAGTTGTCAGAGTGTAAAGGGGTGGGAAAAGAGAACTCCTCTCAGGGTGACAGGAGTTTAGAGAGTAGAGGAAGGATGGAGGTCCATACACAGGCTGCATATACCCCGATACCTTCTTCCACAGGCCAGTCTTCTCTCCTTAAAACCAGAGACAAAAACTGAGAATGGGAGCGAGCATTTTCTTCCTGGAGCTAACCTGGAAGGCAAGCTCCTACAACAGCACAGTTTTCTCTTCCTGGTCTTCCCCTCCCACACTCCCCACCCCCCACCCTCCCACCACCACCAT